GTAGGCTGGCCCCCCCCCCCATGGCCAACCGTGGTTCAAGTCCCGGACCTGGTGGTTGGCTTGCTTTCTCTTTCTCTCTCTCTCTCTCTCTGTCTCGCTCTCGTTCTGTCCCTCTATGATCAAATTAAAAATAAATATAGAAGTGAAGTTAAATAAAATATTTCAGAGGAGGCAGTACTCATATTTATGGTGCCCCCAGGAGGCCAAGTGATCTGCTATGTGTTGTCACTCACTCTTCCCAATAACCGAGGCGGGTGGACCCTATTATGAAAACTCCACTGATGAGAAAAGAGAGGCCCCAGGTCAGTGAGGTCTGAGGGTGAGCACCCAACCGAATCGCAGAGAAGGGGGCTGCCTCTCAGGGACTGACCTAGCCCAGTCTGGCTCCGATGCCACACTAGCCAGCCACAAACGTCTCCAGAGCAACACCAGGGCTGGCACGACCCAGCGACGTTTGCTCGGAGCTCAGGTTTTCACAAAGGACCCCAGCATGGCCCAGAGGCCCTGGGCAAGCTCCTTCATTGCAGCGTCTTGGGAAGTTTCCTCTTCCAGAAAGATCAAGGGGGTGGAAGTGAGACAAAGGAGGGTGGGGAAACAACTCATGCCTTCCAACAGGCAGGTGAGCGCAGGCCCATAATAAACTGTGGTCGTTTCTCTCTAACAGAAGTTCCACTCTGACCTAGGGAGCACTACCAGATAAACCCACTTCCATCCAGAAATGTGCCCCAAAGAGAGAACATTCAAAAAGTAAAATGAGGGAACAAGCAGTTAGCGTAATGGCTATGTCGCTGGACTCCCACGTAGTCGACCGCGGTTTGCCTCCCGGACCTGGTGGCTTAAAACTCACGCCGGGCGCATGTGCGTGCGTGCCCAAGATCCCGAGAGGAGAATGGAGGAGAAGGGATTGCGGCGTGACCATCTCCCCTGGGGGGTTATTCTCACTTTCTATCTCTATGTCTCTCTCTGTCTGGCGATCGCACATGCCCTATAGTGAAAATCTCTCCAAAAAAAAAAAAAATGTAGCAGACATAAACCTCTGTAATAACATGAGAAAAGCACGGCTCAAGTCTGGAGAAAGCGTCTCTGGGACTATCGACATAAAGCTGAGTACGATCCACTGGCATGCACCAGTCTCTGTGCTGGACCAGAAAGGACGCCATGCACCAGGGCACACAGGCACGCGGCAACCTGGGGGAGGGCCGGGGGCTGGAGGGCTGGAGGACGGGCCTGTCCCTTGAAGAAGCTTGGACTTGAAGTGTCCAAAAGAGATGGGTCATTCTGAGACCCTTCAGCTTCCACGTGGAGCAATGGGGAAGCGGGTTCATGGCGACTTGGGAATGACC